TAAGAAAACTGTGAACACATTAGAAAATTCTAAAATATAATAGCAATTCATTTACAAAGTGCACAAATTTTCAGAAATCTTTAGGTATTGGAATACTCGATTTCAGAATTTTACAGATGAATAAAGATTAATAAGATTTATAAACCTAGATAATGAGAGAAAAGTAAAAATCGTAAATATTCACGTGTGAGCTAGAAAATTAAAAAAAAAAGTTAAAAGTTTACAGCACTAGAGTTACTAAAACATGCTACCGGTGTATACTTTGGGTAATTTGATCGCTTATATATGGTTATGTAAGTCAGATTAGAGACGAAATATAATGAATTATATATGTTTAAAGGTACTGCAGCTGAAACTTGTACATATTAAATTGAATTAAATTTGTTCTCGTGCATATGTCGGTACATGTGCTCCGCCATTGGAAATGCTATATTATTCACTATGTTACTATACAAAAATAAGCAATTAAAATTTATAAATTAAATTCAGAAATAATGCAGTTATATTTCCATATTATATCTCATAAACTGCATGAACAAACCAAAAAATGGGTATTTAAAAAATTTAATAAAACCATATTGCTTTGAAGTTTATCAAAAATTAATATTTCAATAGCTTGATTGAAATTTTTTTATTATTATGAATTCTTAATTGATAAATTAATATTCACTACTTTAAGTTTGTATTGCGAATCGGACAAATTCACAATATTAAAGGTACAAAATTTTAAAACACTAATAAATTACTATCAAAAACATTTGTAAGTGGTTGAGAATTTGTCAATAGAAGAAAAATTGCTAAAAATCTCATGAAAATATTCAAGTGCATGTATTATTTTATATATTATATATTTTAGCATGTAATTAATTGCAATATTTAATTAATTTCACATTCATTCCATTGTAATTATAATTTTGAAAATGTTATGAAATCAAAAGTTTTATGTTTACATGTTGTTAATCTAGCAATCTATATTATTAACTAAAAATTGTTGCTTTTCTTGAAATTTATTGTAACACTTGACGTAAAATTGAAGGTAGATCTCAACATTGTACTTGTTAAGAGTAAAATTATGTACATTAAGTTCATTAATCTAATGTTATGCTTTTTCTTTAAAGAAAATTTTAGTTTTAAAAAAAATTAAACATTTAATGTATGAATAATGTAGACAATTAAAATTTAAAAACTTCTTTTTTTTTTTTGGTTATGTCATGCCTGTGAATACCATTTTGAGGAATTTAAAATTTTATAACAATTTATTTTTTATAGTTACACTTTAATTAAAATTTTCTTTATTGGATGCTTCATTACAATTATAGCGAGCGGTTTATAATGAGTATTAAATCCAAAAAAATTATGCATAACATGCAAATTTTGAAATTATTTTGCTTTTCATATACCTACCTTTCGTTTTGTTCATAGATTGTTCGGAATAAATGGCAATAATGATAGTAATGAACAGATCGTTAATTTAGTACCTATTCTTTCATGTCATGAAATATTATTTTAAATTCTTGTTTTAAAGAAAAAATTATATTAATTAAGAGAAAAGCTTTCATTTGATACTATGTATTTAAGAGTGCAAAAAATTATGCAAATTGTAAAATAGTAATGAATAAGGTAGCACGTTACAGAACTAAAAAGATTATTATATAAAACTATACAGAGATGGGAAAAATGAAAGTGATAGGTTGTCGTTGCTCAGTTCAAATTACAATGACTTCAGTGCTCTTTTTTATGCTATATTCAGAAATGCAGTCTCAATACAATTTATATTTCTTTGACATACTCTACGAGATAAAATAAAAATATTTTTTCAAGAAAATGGTTAAGAGTAAGTTGTCTTTTTGATTAGCTGTGGTAAAGAATCCCAAATTAGTAAATGTAAAGATGGATACTTAATTATGCTAATATAAGATATATGTATCTACATTTTCTTTTGTCTTCAACTACTCTAACTAATGTTAGTAGAAGAAATGAGTTTTTACTAAATTTTTACCAGTGTGTATGTTAACAACAAATAAAATGAAATTGTATTGCTGGTTTGTGTCTTAACTAAATATTTTAGTTCTTTTGAAGAATCTATCGAAACTCGCTGTGCAACCAAAGGCCGGTGTGCCATGTAGACAGGCTTAGACAGCCCGAGACATCGCCAGGAACCCGCCCGATTTCTTACGGTCGTATTTTGGCTACGTCCCGCATGTGGACAGGGTTTTTCACCTGCGGCCAGAGCACGATAGATAAGTTCTATATATATTGTCTATATTGATGGGAACAAAAACCGTTCCGCCCCGGAAATGCCCATGATTGAGCCACACCTAGCCAGCTCATGCGCCAGTTAATTTCCTGAGCCGACATCTACTTGCTAATACTTTGTGTTTAATTAACTAACTACTTTCCTAACTATAAATTCAAATAAAGTAAGATAATAAGATTGTTTAACAAAAAAATGGAAAAGGAAAAAGTTTTTTTTAAGAAAAAACGAAGTGCATGAATTTGTAATATTGTAAAATTAATCCTTAACGATGCTATTAAAATGATTTAAAAACTGTTCTTCAGTGAATTTGCAATCATAGCCACATTTATTAATTTTAACATATTCATACCACAAAATTTCTTTGGAATAATTAAAAGAAAATCGAAAGTTATGTGGCTCTCGAACTAATAAAAAAACACTACTAACTTTTTTACTTGTGGTCATTCAAATATGCACTTTATCACTAATGTTCAGTGCAATTACTGGGAAAGCCACAAAAAAAAGTTGAGTTTTAATGTATATGGCAACATGATATCTGCATGGTATTTTTCAAAATCTTTATTTCCTTTTCTTTGTCTCATATGTAAACTGACATAGCCTATATGGTTGAATAATTAAACCGTTTTCATTTTTATATTGAAATTTAATATCCGACCTTAAAGTATCGTTTTCGACTATCATGAACATATTAATTTTCTTTTCTTAAAAGTTTTTGTGGCAATGACATATGCAAAAAGAAAGGTGTAATTTTTATTTTGAATAAATAGAAAATTTTAAGAAAATAAATTTTACTACATACGTTTAGAACATTTAATAAACAACTCATTTTTGCAAAAATTTTGGATAGGCCACTAATGCGATGAGCGCCTCATATTGCCTTGCCATTGAAATACATTAGGTAGGGGGAAATCTTTGAGTTATAATATCTTCGAGCATTGTAAACGAGTGTAAAGCCTAAATGATATTGTAAATTAATTTATTTAAGTCATAAGGACACATTTTTGGGTAAGGACATTTTTACCTTTGTTCATTAGAGCTTATAGTGTCGAAGAAATAGAGACTTTTGCAACTGCAAGAGCAGGTAATTATAAAAATATTTTATTATATTTATAAACTAATAATTAAAGGCCATCTGAGCTCCGTATGTAGGACAAAAGTTAAAATTCCAAAAATTTGGAAATAACCGGTTTGAGATGTCAGGTAGTTATTAGAAATTCTCAACGAACTGTAAATTAATATTATGCTTCCCAATTATCGTTAGAAACGTATTTAAATTTAGCATGAGCAACAATTTTTATCACGTCTATTTAATTGATAAAGACAGATAGGGTGATTTTAGATTTTTTTTTTTTTGTAAACCTAACATAAATATCGTACAATTATTCAATGAAACTTTCACAATAGTCTGAAAATTTTTTCCACTTAAAACTTAATCCAGCATGCGTTACAAAATCCCGGAAAGATCACAATAAAATGTCAATAAGTAGGGTCAAATCGCATTGAATTTTGCTGGAGAATACTCTGCTTGCGTACTGAAAGTGGTGATTGGAACCAGGTTACTATTATTATTATTAAATTCTGAATTTTTTGTCATAGAAGAATGAAAATCCAATTGAAATTCAGTTAAACAAAACTTAGTCAATTTGCAAAATACACCCATCACATAAGTATGAATTTTATGAATGCATCCATTCACATTATGAATTTGAAATTATAATAAATGTGGTAGATTTTTTCTCTTGCATTAAATCTATTATAAATTTTTATTCAATTTACTATTTAAAAGTATGGAATATTTTTTTCAAATTTTATAAATTTAGTATAGCGTAAACGCACTTATTTTCCTATCCAACACGTCCAGTTATTCAAATATATGTATGAGTATAAATAGGCTTGAGCGTGATCTGATCTCATCAAACCGATTAAAGTACGTGAGCAACCTAATTTGTGATATATCTAACTACTATCATTAAATTTTTTTATTTTCTTTTAACATTAACAGGCATGCACACTAATTTTACAAGAGATCACATAAAATTACACACACAAATTGTGTACTTACAGTTTGTCATTAAAATATTTTGCAGCTCTTCTGTGCCTATATTAATTTCTATGCCCATATTATAAAAGTCAAACATTTTGATGTTTATTGTTAGCTTACATATAAATTTAAATTGATATAGGTATTCTTGTTATTCATTTTGTGGTTATTTGAATCCTCCATGGCTTCAGCAATTTTTTCTTTTTCTTAATTTTCTTATTATTAATTTTATTATTTTGATGTCAGATACATAGTAAAATGTTAATAAATCCAATGTTAGAAAATTTGTAAAATGTTAGAAGATAACAAAAGAAAGAAGAAGAAAACAAAAAAAAAATTAAAATGAAAATATCATGAACGTAAAATGAACTTCCATGGTCCGTTGCCAATTGCGAAACTATATAAGATTTGAAAATTTTCAGTAAGCGTCGCATTTTAATTTGGACCTTGACATTGGATAGACCTTTCTGTTAAAATACAGTAAAATAACACAGAAAATAAAATTGGATTATCAAATTTTAAAATTGAAGAAAGTGAAAAAGAAAATATTTAAATATTAATTTATTAAATTTAATAACAAAAAAAAAGAATTAAATTTTAAGTATAATTAATGAAAAACTATTGAACAAGAAAAATGTTAATTAAATTGAAACTTAAATTAAAAGAAATAAGTGTGAAAATATTTTAGAAATTTGATTGGAAAACTCAATGAAACGAAAATAAATTTGAAAATTAAAAAAGTGAAAATCCATTTTTTTTTGTATCACAGAGCAGAGCAATTCAAGAAAAACTATAACAAATGGAAAATATTTAAATATTTTCAGTTAGCATGATATTTAAGAATCGTGACTTTTATTTAATTTTATGGTGGAGTGTTTTAATTCATGTGAATTCCGCAAAAACAGAAAGAGAGGATGATCAGTAAGTGGATTTTCTTTTGTAATTAGGGTCCTTCATAAATTCAATATTCCAATAATAGTTGCGTGGTTGATTAATTGGTTAACGTAGTCGATGCACCAGGTTTAAAGTGATCACATGGCCGTCATTGAGCGTACGATAACATGGGTGGCCTATTTAAGCCATCCGATTCTTTTGAGGAATCTATCTAAATTCTCGGTAGTGAAGAATAGTCCCCTTCCTGTTCATATTCCAGCAGCTGCGAGATGCCGTATTGAAGAGCGCAATCGTAGCCTAGCCGTATACAGTCTTAACTTAGATTTTATTTTATCTTTTTATATATTTTGAATATTCCAAATTCTGCAATTTCTAAAAGTGAATGCAACAAAAGACATTTGAAACCGTTATTTTAAAGTTTATATATTTGAAAAATTCTAAGCTGCCGCAGTCAATTTTTTTTTTTAATTTTAATTAAACTGTCATAAGCCTATTATAATATTTTCGCACAGGTTTTCTAGAATTCGTTTCGCTTCTCTATTCTATTTCGCATTAACTGAAAATCAACTCAGCAAGCTGAGTTAGTATATTTGTTTTTTAATTGCGTTGAAAAATAGAAATGTGTCTTGACGGATCACTCAAAAGTACTTTCGGAGGTTGTCTTGCTACTCTTTATTACATTTTATTTTATCCGGAGCCGTTTTACTTAATAAGATATAATAATTTATGAAATCGTGTTTATTGCTATACATATATGTATTTAAAATATTTTCTCTTTCTCATTTTCCAGTGTTCACATTAAAGTTCATGTTCCACAAATATACAAAAAACATTTTCACCATAAAACAATAGCAAAACATCATTTTCACTTTCCAAAGAAAATTAATTTTCAACCAACACATCCAGAATCTGTAGCAACAAATATTGAACCAGAAATTGATTTTCCACTTTTAAGTGCACCTGTTGTTGACAAATTCATAAAATGGCAAGAAAAACCACATACACCATTTACTTGGCAAAACAGTGATCAATCAATTCATGATTTTATTCCTGAAAAATTAAAAACTTTAAAATCTCCTTCAAATATTGAAATTGACGAATACAAAATTTTAAATGGCAGAAATAATTATAAATATCATGATTTGGAAACAGAATACTTTCCACACAAATACGCTCAAAAATTTTATCCACATCAAAATTCAATAAGTGGTATAAAAGATTTTCGAATAAATATTGAAAATGATTATAAAAAAAATCCAATCAAACAATATTCCAATTATCGTGATGATGAAGATGATGAAGATCAAGAACAACGTGATGAATATCATGAAGATGCAGATGCAGATAGTTATTTAGAAAATACTGAAACAATACATTCACCATCAAATTCACCTTATTCACCACAAAATATACCAATTATAAGCGGTCCCGGGCATTATTATGATGCTGTACCATCATCACATTCAAATGATCATTATTATTCAACAAATTATAATTCTGATTCAGATCTATTACAACACGGAAAACGTGCTGTTAATAATAGCTATAAAAAACAAAAATATAAAAGACCATACCGTGATTACAAGGAATCATTAAAATTATATGATGATGATAATATTTGGATATCTAATTTTCCTCCACAAAATCATTTTAGTGAATGGAGTCCTAATATTTTCGGTAAAACACCACCAGTCATTGATCATAGTAAAACAAAATTAAGTGGAAGGAAACCATTTGGTTTTAGTTCAGATAATGAATTTCAAACATTGAATCAAGGTGGTAATAATTATAGCAATAATAATTTTGAACCATATTTTGGAAAAAATTTGGAAATGAGTGGTTTAAATGATTATCGTCCAAAATATAAAAGACCGAAAAGAAAATTTAAACCGAAAAAAAATAGATACTCACATAGCGGACCCGCTTATGCTTATTAAAATTAATCTTGCAAATCTTCTATAGAATATAAAGTTTTACCTGAATTCAAAAATGGCGTCCTAATAACATAATCTATAATTCAGCTTATACGTTAACTGCTGAATTTAGTAAAAATGTAGCATTATTAAACTTCTTAATTTATAATACACATTTTGGAACTCAAGAAACGGTCTGAATCAGCGATTAGCACTTTACGCTAAATATTTTAACAAAACAGTATGTTACTGCAATTCTGAAGCGGGGATTTCTTAATTGCTCGAGCCTGTTATCACTACTATTTTCAAATTTACATAATTTACATAAGTGAGATTAAAAATAAACTTATTATTGTTAAATTTAAATGTCGTAATCAATATTTAGATTATTACTTAAAATAATAAAAAAAAAATTTATTTATTTTATTGTAATTTGTTAAATTTCAATTTTTAATGCATTCTTTTATGGATGTTATTTATTTTATATATTTTTAATAAAAGTAATACAAATTGTTTTTAATTGTTGTCTAGTATTTTGCGGGAATTTGAAATTATTCCAAATTCTATAAATTTGCTTGAACAAAATATAACTAAAGAGTTTCGTTCCTATTACTACAAGCGGCAATTACGAAAGTCGATTTGGCCAGTTTGAAATTTTTTTATTTCAAAGTCAGTTTGGATTCCTCCTTCTTTCCAAATTGTATTCGTATATAAAAGAATGTTAACCAATAAAAATATTACAATAATTCTCTAATAGAAAGTTGTATAAAACTTACGACTCTTGTCAACACGGCGTCTGTTTTTATAATCTTATTCTTATCAAACATAAAAAAATGTTTCAATCAAAAAAAGGGTAAGACTTTTATATTAAAGAAGTTCAGCGTTGGTTACTATTCGAAACTGTTATATAAACAATAAAATGTTATGACAAAACACTGTTAAATCAATAAATCACAAACTACTGTACAACAAGGTGTTATTCTTCCAAGAACCTTTTTCGGTTCGGCATCAAATTGAAGTTAAAATTGCGTTTTCGGAACTATTTAATTTTTTTTTGTAATTTTCGAAATGGTAAGTACAATAATATTTTTTATCAATAATCACAAAATCCCAATTTCTTCGACCTACTTTGCTTTATTATTTTTTAAAAGCCACCAAAGAAGAAATTATCGAAAAAAGAAAAACAACGGTTGGAAGCTGAAAAGCAGGAATTAGCAAGGCTCGAACAAGAAAAAGAAAAGTAAAAAATTTTAATTTTAATTCAATTAAATATAAAAAACAAATAATCACAAAAATCTTAAAGACAACGAAAACTAGAAGAGGAACGTGAGCGTATGGAACGTGAACGTGAAGAAGCAGAAAGACGTAAAGAACAAGAAATTATAGAAAATAAAATGCGTCGCAAACAATTAAAATTTAGTATGGAATATTTTGACGCCGTTACCTCGATAATAAACGCTATAAAAATTGAATTAAAAGAATCTGATGAATGGGATGATTATATGAGATGTAATGGTTTACCAAATGCTCATATACCGGGTGATTTGCGAAAATACTTACATCAATGGAAAACTCATGTTGAAATTGAAAAAACTAGAGAAAGCAATTGGTTATTGAAAGCTGATGAAAAAACTTTATTAACTCAAGATATGGACCAACCGGATTTAACATGGAAAAATTTAAAGAAACAACAAGGGAATTTGGGTGATATTTTTGCAAAAAGAATCAGAGAAGTTTTGGGAGTAAATTTATATTGAAATTAACTCTTTTTTTTTAAGTATAGAAGTTTTAATATTATTTTTTGTCAAAATTATTTATTTTACAGACGCTGTCATCGGAATTGCTGAATTATACAGTTAAACGTTATTGCTTCAATTCCGATGTCAGGGAAATAGCTGTCATAGACCAAATATAAAGCAAATATAAATACTGCATTGTTATTTGTAGATTTTAACCGAACTGGACCGAGCTTTGCTATCAGATTCTTTGACTCAACCAACTTTAATTGATTTAAAAGGTCTGAAAATAGAAATACGATTGATGTTGAGAAACTATATCGATGATTTTACATTTAAAATTTTATCACATGTTGATAGAGACATGGAGTAAATTTCATTATATTTTGAAAACGTTGATTATTTAAATGAAAATTTTAAAATTTTAGAGTTCTTAAACCTGGTATTTCAAAACATGACTACGTCTCAGAGGTATTCAAGTCACAAATTCTTGCTATGCGAGGTGATGCTAATGCGTAAGTATTTCTTTTACTTTTATCAAATATTTAATAATTTATTTAATCTGATTTTTATTGTTGATGTCGGGTCAATAGCCCTAAAGAAGCTAAATTTCGTGTAGAGCCAAAACCGTCAGAAGTTGAATTTCCACTACTTGAATTAGAATTGTCATTACCACCTGCTATAAAACTTTTTAATGCAGCATTAAGAGGATTATGGTTAAATTATGACCATTATAGTGATATTTGTTCAAGTGCAATCATTCCAAATATTAAAATAAAACCCATGAGTAAAGTTTATATCAGAAATCTAATTCAATTTATAAAATATTCAATTGAATTTTACAGATTTATTACAGCAAACGAAAAAAGAATGGAAGAAACGTAAAGAAATCATACAAAAAACTTTAGAGGAGGCATCGAAAATTATTGAACCAGAAAAAAATGTTTTCGGTGATGAAACAGAAACTAAAAAATCTAGAGTTATTGATATTGACAAGGCCTATTCAGAATACGAAGATGAAATTAATAAAGCAAGACGGAAAGCAATTGGGCCTGATGGACTGAAATTAACAGAAAATGAATTGAATTTGAGACGTTACAGAATTGTTGGTGGTATTTATTGTGTTGATTATCTAGTTCAGCCGCAGCAGGACAAAAAAATTACACAAAGTACATATTTAAAGACAAGTAAGCCACCATATGGAATTTTTCAGTAATTTTTTTGATATTCTCATGTGCATTCGTATTTTTAGTTGTGAAACCAGAAAAATTAGGGCATAAAATATTTCATCAACCATATAAACCGCCGCCACCTCCACAGCCTGGTGTAAGAAGACTCCCTGAAGAAATTGAGGCTGAAATACGAATGGTTGAGAGAATGATGGATAAGTTGGCACAAATTTCTTTGCAGTGAATTGAAATTTATTTTCTCAATTTATAAATAATCTTAAGTTTTTCTTGTTTTCAATTTCCTTGAGACTTCTTGAAAAGAATATCTTTTTCCGAAAGTTTTAAGAAATTTTCTTTTCAAATTTCCATATGATTATCAATTACATATTTGTAATTAATTGGTACATTTAAACGAAAATGAATACTTTTAAATGAAAGAACTTTGAAAACCTAACATGAAAACTGAAATACTTTTGATTATTCCACGAAATCCAATAAGAAAAATATTTCTTAATTTATTTTAGGCTTACCCCAGATGTTTGTTGGTTTGAACCACCAGTTGTTTGTCGATGGGAGAATCATGCAGAATTTGAAGAATCAGAAAAAGAAGAGCCATTGCGAAAATCATATTTCAAAATTAATTCTCAACCTTCACAATCGCAATCGATATCATCTGACGTTGAAAAAAATGAGAAATCCAATTCACAAATGACTCCTGTTGGCGGTAGTTCACAACAATCACCTCGAAAATCTCACAGTTCATTATCACCACAAAGAAAAGTTTCAACTGTTAGTAAACGTGACAGTGAATCAAGAAGGCAATCAAGAAAACCATCATCTCTTTATAAATCAGTACGTTCAAGTGCTTCGGTGTCTGATAAATTTAGTTTACCAATAACTGAAATTGAAGATTTTGACATGTGCAATATTCCACACGATCTTGATATTTATGGTTTAATACACGATTTTGTAGTACCACGTTTACCGGAAGGGCATACTATACGTTTAGAAGTTGAATCTCCACGAAAATCTGTAAATAAATATTTATATTTGACTAGAGAATATGAAAAAACACCCGAAAAACTTGATGAAGAATTCAAAAGAAAATTAGAAAAAGAATTACAGACACATAAGCGTATTGAAACAAACCTATTAGAAACAGATTCTCCAAGATCTGTTCATCCGAAATTAATATTCAAAAAAATTTTAAAAGTTAATGCATCGTCTAAAACAGCAATAGTACTTGTTGGGAAAAGTGAAGTGCTTTATGAAACTGAAGAACTAATTGGAGATCTAAAACCTTACATGTTCTCACAATTACTTGAAGATTTAGATGAAATTTACGACGTTCAGACCTCATATGTAACTCAGAAGTTAGCTGATATTTCTTCCAAAATTTCCTCAAGAAGAAGTTCTATAGCACCAGAAGAAATAAGTAGTCCGCAACGTAAATTCTCTGGCATAATAATAATTCGAGATAATGAAGTACCATCAGGAAAAAAAATTATTAATATTGAAAAGAATGAAGACGGGGAAAGTTCTTCCGAATATGATGATGAAGATGGGGAAGATGAAGAAGATGGTATTACCCCGTCACATGACGATATTTCTGACAGAGGGTATGTATATTTTACGAGTTTTGATGAAAATGAATGAATTTTAAAAAAAATATTTTGTAATTTAGAAAATATAAAGGTAAAAAAGTTGGTGAAGGAGGAAGATGGAGCACTAGAGATGTACATGATGTGCGTTTTAATGAAGATAAACTAAATATTCAATTCAGAACTGGACGCTTAGGTTATTTTGGATTCGCAGCTAATCGTTACAGTAATATGCCTTATCAAACTTGGGAAATCAAACCTGACATTACCACGTAATTAATAGGAAAAATTATAAATTTTTTAAAATTTGATTTAAATTTGTATTTAGAGAAAATACGGTTCTATTTAGTTTAACTGCAGCAGTAATTAATGTTGATATAACAGTTACGAAAGATGGCTTTTGTATGACAACATTTCAAGGTGCACCAGCAACCAATGCAATTAATGAAATGATTGGAAAAACGTTATCTATGAAAGAAATGAAACACATTCTAACTGAGTCATCAGTTGATTTATTTCCGGAACCAGATGCTTTTTGTTATACAGAAGGATCATGTGAAAAGAATTTCGTAATGGAAATGCATTTGTATAATTGTATGTCTACTCTAGCTCTATCACATAATTTTTCATGGTCAAGATGGAATTTATTAAGTGGAAGTCGTGTTGCTGTTCTGTTAATGAAAGAATTTATTAATGGGAAAAAAGTTGTAAGTTTTAAAATAAAAAAATTTTTAAAATGAAAGTTATTTAAAAAAAATTTTATATTGTTTCTTTCTTTTTATTTTCATTGAAGCCAAGTCATTCAACATTATATGTAACACCATTAAAAACATTAATTGTAGATTGTACTGAAGTATCAGCTAGTTTTACAACAGCCGGAGTTGCTGGTATGGAATACTATGCTGATTTGTATCAACTAACACAAGTACATGCGCATCCGAACAGCCTTGAAAAACAAGCTAATATTGATCCAGTTTTAAGAGACAATGTAGCACAAATATTAATGCAAACGAGACCATTAAGTTTTTGTTAAATATCGTTACAAGAGATTAGAAAAGAATATTTAAGATTTGTTTTTGTTTAATTATTCTGTGAATTATTGTGTTATAATTAGACACATAGACAACATGCAAATAGATTACCATAATAATTAGATTATAACAACATTATTTCGCTTTGAGAACATTTAAGGGAACTAGTTTTTAAATACTGAACAAATATTTCGGATCGTATAGATTTACTACAGTATTATGAAAAATTGTTCAAAATCGCTGTATCTCTTTCTAATTCAATCAAAAAAGCTTTTTCAAGTTTATGAATACGATATTTTAAATGATGGTAAAACAAATGTGTAAAATTAAAATAAATTCAATTTAATTTTCTTTTATAAAAACAAATTCTAAATTTAAAATTAAAAAGAAAAAATTTAAAAAACTTCAAAATACATTGTGTGCTTGCAATGTTAATCATTTTGAAAAAAAAAAATATTGTTTAAAATATTTGCCTATATTTAGGATGAACCCTCTGCAATATCAATCCAGATAAATATTTTGCTATACAACTCTAGTATAACAATTTTTATTAAATTGTTATACAAGTACATTCGTATTTTGTACTGCCTACAATTCTTATATATAATTTAAATAAATTTTTAAAAATTTATAAACAAATTCTTGCTTTTAATGATACAATTTTTGTTATAATTTAAACGAAATTTACAATAAATAACATATTTTTATAACAGTAAAAAATATCACAATCAATTCGAAGAAAAACAATTTTTTTTTAACAAGAATTAAATTGTAATTTATTTTTTTCTTATAATAATGGCGTTATATAAAAAAATTATAACCTAAAAAATTAAAATATACTTAAAATATATTATTTAATATTCTATTTCAATTTCACTGTCATCATCAAAATCATGTAAATCATCACCGTCATGATCATGTAAACTGTGTTGTTCAATTTCATCATTATATAAATATTCATCATCATCTTCCTGTTTATCTTCATGCTTAATCTTTGGTTTTTTATGTTCTTCCTTATATTCTTCCTTATGTTCTTCCTTATTTTCTTTCTTATGTTCTTCGGGTTTCTTTACAATTTCTGGCTTTTTATAATCTTCGTGTATAGTTTCCTTGTGATGATTATGTTGATAATGATGATGATAATGTTCATGTTTTTCTTCTTCTTTTATTATTATAGGAATTTCCTTTTTAAATACTTCTTTTTTCTTTATTATTGGTTTATGATGGTGGTGTACATTTTTATAAATGGTATGATGATGTTTATGCTCTTTTTTATAAATTGGAACATGTATTATTACTCTCTTTTTTCTAAAATTATAAAAATAAATTAATAACTTGAATTGAAAATCTTACATTCTATTATAATATGCACATTTAATTGTAAGTCAATGCAACAATAAAAGCTTAGTTATTGGTATTAATTAATAGATAACTAATATTTTTCAAAATCTTAAATTAGAGTGGATTGAAAGAATTTCTCAGTTTTAATCGTTAACAAATTTATTCCAATTATGGTGAGCACAGAAGGAAAACTTTTTCGAAAACGTCTTATCTTTGCCATGATTCAACAATTCAACCATTACAAAAACAAAGCTAAACAAAGCTAGTTCTTTAACAAAGCTAGAACATGAAACAAAATTCTTCAAACTCTGCCTTGAGAACTGGAAATTGAAAAAACTTTTCATTTGTACAAATATTTTAAAAAAAAGATTAACAATTTTGTTGAAATTTGAGGTAAATGAAAGTTTTAAATATTTTACGATCATGCACACCTCTTTTGTTAAACTAATAAGGAACGATGTATCGGTGATTTTAAATATAATATATTTCCTTTAGGAACGCATAATTTGTGATACCACCAAAATTTTAAAATATTTAAAAGTTTCCTTCCTTATTTCGGTTCTAGAGTAAAAATTCCCTTTTACTACAAATTTCTAATCTGAAATTTTCAAACTTTTAACAATAATTTTAATTTGCCACCTACTTAATTTTTCCACTGTCACAAAAGTTACTCAACATTAGTACACACAGGATCAAGATGAAAATCTACAAAATAATTTTATTAATATTTTAATTAAAAAGTAATTTCAAAATCTTTTATTTTTCAATTTCTTTAAAATTATTAAAAGCTTACAATAACTCGAATATCCATTTTGAAATTTTTGATGAACTTTTGAAATTTGATTTATTTTCTTTTAAATTTTATAACGTAATCCGATCAGAAGTCTCTGAAATTCAACTTAAAACTGTAATTTTTTCAAAAATATTGAATTCTTTTATACAAATTATTAATTTTTTTTTCTCTTCCTTAAAATCTAGAAGGAAAAAATTTTTTGTTTTATTTTGCATTTTTGTGTTTGTATTTTATTCCATAGTTACAAAATTTTCTAGTTTTCCTCATACAAACCTGCTCATATTTCCATACTTTGTTAATTTGTTATAATTTTAAAATTATTGTTGTATATAGTTTTCTTATTCTCCTTTATTTTATATTAACAATGTTATATAATAATGAAAGAAAAACCAATATTTAGCGTGCTGAAATATTTTTTAATAGGTGCTTCTTTTAAAATATACAAAATTTTTATTCAAATCGCATTTTGCTTTTATTTATCATGTGAATTTCTTGAATTTAATTTTAAAAATAATTATTCACTTGGGAATTTGTAAATAGTTTTTATTAAAAATTCGTCAGTCCGATTTTTTATATTTATTGTAAGCGTTTATTGAAACAAATTTTGAATCCAAAATCGATTACATATTTAAAATCGATTATAAGAAAATAATACGATATTAATTTATAAGTGTGTCGATAAATTTTTATGACAAAATTCGATAAAATTTTTCATGTAGGGATTGGAGTATTCTAAATATTACATGTCACTCACCATTAAATATTAATACTACCAAATGGGTATGTTTACACGACAATTCATCTAGTCAGAAATAGTTGAAGGCAAGAGGAGTTAAAATAATTTGGAATTTCCAAATTTCGTACACGAAATGTAAAATCGATTTGTTTTCGAATATCACCCAAAACAAAATGATAGACATAATTTTCTGTTGTTGACTCGATTCTAATTCTCGACATTTAAATAAAATAATTTTTAAATATTACCGCTGATTTATTTTGTTTTAGCTTATTTTCTCTCTATCATTTTATCCTATATATTGAATTTATTTACCTTAATATATCAAAATCAAAAATCAAATAATGGAAAAAATCATCAAAATCGACACGTAAATATACAACTATAATTATTGTTGATATAAAAACAAAAAAAAAACAGTTCATCATTTGTAAGACAGTAGTACAATTTAAAGAAGAAGAAGAAAAAATATATTTTACTTACCCCTACAATATGTAAATTGTTCCGCTTATTAAGTTTTAAATGATAATTAAATGCAATTGAAATATAACCAATATTTTATTATAGAAAATAATTAAATGTATTAATTTTTTAATTTTTTTTGTTTTAAACTAATTTTATTTAATTATAAAAACTTCATTGAAGCATTTATTTTTAGGTGAAATAATTTCATTTCCGAGTTAAAATAATTGTTTCAAATTAAACACGTATATATGTGTGAATATGTTTGTAATTATTATTTATATAGTTTATTTACAAATTTCATTTTTTTGTTATAATTTTTCCAAATTTTCTGGAAATTTAAGCTTGTAGTCTTAATCGGATTTCTATATTGATATAGTGGAATTGATTTAATTGTGAATAATTAAATTTTAATTTATAAATATGTAGGTAATTTATGACGTTTCAAATGAATTATTACAATATAACCTAAATTGTAATAATAATAATAAATTACAAAGTTTTGATTGTGCTACTTGCGTCGCTGACTTTGACAAATCAAAACATTTTAGTTTTGTAAATTCGCATTATTATGTTTCAAGGTACATACAAAATATGCACATTTCCGTAAGAATCAATTTTACTATTTTAATACGAGTATTATTCTAAAAAAATATAAATTTAGCGTTTATTTAAATAAATTATCTTAATGGAAATTTCTTCATGCAACTGCAGAACAGATGGATGACGTAATCAAAGGAACGAGTTAAAGGCAGAAAAATTCATTAAAAAAATTTTTCTCCTCGAACTGGACTCGAACCAGTGACCTACCGCTTTCTAGGCGGACGCTCTACCAACTGAACTACAAATAAATTACCTTAAATTGGAAATAAGATTAGAGAGCTAGTTATTACAAAAATACATTTAAAATTCGTTCTTAAATTAAATTTAAAATAAAAATCTTTATTATTTACTTACGTAGATATTTCCTCAAATCATAATTATTTTTAAGGGAAATCAAAAATAATATCTATATACTACTAAATTTTAAATGAAAATTAACTTTCTTTATTAATTTGAATGCAGTGAAAACTTTTTATGTACAAAATGTTTAAAAGCAATTTATTGTCACAAAAATGATATAAATTAAAGAAATGAAAAAGGTGATAAATTATGTGCTTCTATAAAATTATCTTAAAAGTCCAAATCAAATTGACTTTCACTGCGACATTTTCAAATTATAATGTGAAAGATGTCTCGCCTTCCTCTTAAGTAAGTCATTTTTTAAGTTTAAATGTCATTAAATTTAATTATTATATTTTTGTATTACACTTTTCATACAGAATTTTTGTATTTTTAGAAAATGTGATTTTATTGCCTATGCGGCAAAAATTAAATGACATTTTGATGACAGTTCATTGTAAATTTTTTATACAAAAATTAATACTCGTATCTATATTAAAGCTAGTATAAAAAAAACCTATCGCACCCACGTTCGAAAAAGGTTACTGAAAGAACTTTAATTAGAATGTTAATATTTTAAAGTATTCAATTTTTAGTAAAATTTTTTCAGAATGTTAGAAAATTGTGATGAGATTAGTATACGACCGTAGTTTGTATTATCAATTTTTTTAAAATGATCTGATCCGTCTCGTCTGTTGAACAATTTTTTGAAAATCTATTTTATATTTTCTAATTTTAAATACCAGCGAATAAAATATTTCTACATTTAAATAGAAACACAATAATATGTACAAAAATTATTAAAGGGCAAAATGGATACAAATAGCCTTTACTTTGTGTATAGCCATATTCATTAGAAATAGAATTTTAATTAAAAAAGAAATGACAAAAATTAACCTAAAAAAATTGGCAATAAAAAATGTGATATCTAAAGCGAAGGTTCAAATAACACTTTGCCTAAAATGCAGAACAAGTTTCCCTTCTGAAAAATTTTACAGGGATTATCAAATCACAAACACATACAAATAAAATAGTAGGCACCAGGTAATTTAGTATACATATTAAAGATTTAGAAACAAAAAAAAATAGTTGAATAGATTTCACGAATTGTGTACAAATGTTACACTTTTAATAATGAAAAGTCATTAAATTTAATATGAAAAAATTTTATTAAAATTTATAAACTCAGCTAGACTGCTACAGTATATACATATGTATGTATGTAGATACATAAATTTTTTTTCAATTTTAATTTGCGTTCATTCTTTTACATTTTATTTTAGAAAATTAAATTCAAGAAGTCACGTCACTCTCTAACCCAGTGATCTATAATTTTAACAGTTTTGTATGTTATAAAATACTGTGTGTGTTTGTATATGCTAAAATTTATTTTAATTTATAACTATTTTCTTTCATTTTCTTTTAATTCCCTTAATTTTTTATGGGTTTCGTTTTCATTACTATGTTTTTCTTTTTCAAGTTGTGTTGGTAAAAAGCAAAAAAAAAAAAAAAAATCAGAACCATTTTTTAGTTTTGCGTGCAAATTTTGTTTTAGGAAATGTTTTCTTTTTTTCATTATTGTTTTATTCACGTGAATTCTACATACAGACAGATGTAGGCATGTATATTAAAGTTATTTGATTTACTTGGTAAGCGGTAAGTACTATTAAATATTTACAACAGAATTTTTAGTCCGAAATGCAGTCTGAAAATACAATAATCAGTATACAAATTTAATTTGGCGTATCTCACCTCATTTTTTTTGAAAAGCTTCAAAAAGTTTAATAAGAAAAGGGGTAAAGAAATGAAGAGTAATTAAATTTTAATAAGGTTTGTTTTGAAAATTCCGTTATTAAAACCTGTGTTCACACAACAATTTGACAACGGTTGACATACGTCTCTCGCTTAAAAGGCCTAAAAATCAAAGAGAGAGGAATAACAGACAGACCGGATGTCAAATTAAATATTAATGTGGAAAAATTAAAAGGAAACCCGTATTAAATTATAGTAAGTCGGAATCTTTTACACATACCAGATAATTTAATTAAAAAAAATAATTTTTTTTCAAAGCCATATAAAAAACAAAAAACCAAAACCTCATTAAAAGTTCATCATACCTAGGGTTACTGTTTAGGTCATCATATAACCAGAAGTTTAACTGGAAAATCTCTTTACTCTATAAAAGAAAATAAAAAATACAAAAACAAAATTAAAAACAAGACGTATGTAATTGTCTTACCAGTTGTTTTTCTTGTATTTTTATTACTTTTATTTGTATTTCCAAACAACTTCCACTTGAAATTTAGATTAAACAAAAGAATATTGTGAAAACTACTAACCAAAAATATAAGTACATTCATTATTATTTTATATGAATGAATTTAATGAATACTTAGTGTGTATGTACAGAATTTTTTTCATTTTATTATTTTTTATTCAAAACTTTTATAAATTTTTGGACATATTAAAGAAAGTATAAAAGTTTTTCCTTTAATTTTGTAATCACTATTTGTTGAACAGTAACGAGAACTTAAAGACGCTTTTTTATTCTTCCAAATTCGCTAATATTTCGCGAACATTCATTGCGTTAACCAATGTTTCCTGCAAAATTTTCTGGATTTTTAAATATATTACGCATTATTTTCATATGGAATATTCAATAGTGAAAAAAGATTAATTAAAATAGTGAAATGAAATTTTAAATTAATAAAAAAAAAAAACAAAAAAAAAATATGATTAAATTTAAATATTTTTTATTAAATATTTTAATAACAGTTCTAGTGCATATTTTATTTATTCAGTGTCAATTATATTATAATTATCCAAGAAATTTTAGAAAAATATATAATCCACAATGGGATAACCATAGTTATAATAATAAAAATAAAATTCCAAAACCAAATATAAGACATTTAGGCATAAATATTTCATCACATTATAACCGACCACCTGTAAACTTGAATCAAAGAAATTTTTTTGAATCAATGAGATTACAGCCAAAGCAGTTGCGTAAGAGATCACGATTTCAACCAAAACCATCAATTAAACCAAAAATTCTAGAAAGTACAAAATTTCCATTTCATTCGTTTAATCAGAAAATTACAAATCTAACATATAAAAATCCATTTTATCCTCAATTACGAAAACAAAATCCACAAAATTCTTTCCTTTTACCAGTTATTGATCCAGATCAAGAGAATGTTACGCCATTTTTAATTTATACTGGTGATAAGACTGAAATAATTTTTAAAACAATTGTCGATGAAAATCAAATTGAATTACAAGAACCAAGTCAAGTAATGGAACCACCATCGGATAAAATTTTTACTTCAATGAATTTATGGAATGAATATTCGGATACAAAAAATAATTTCAATCATCATGCAAATCCCTTGAATAGACAACATTTTATTGTTTCTCCAACAAAATTTATTCCATTTTATGCACATGAAGCATTAATTACACCAACAACTTTTAGATCTCCGATACAACATCAAGAATTAATATCAAAAACAACACCTAAACCGTTATCACATAATTTTATAAAACAACAGTCATCATTTTTTGATCCTGGTAATTTGCTACTAAATTATCAAATAACTGAGAAAACCTATACACCAATTATTTATGGTAACCCATATCCAAATGTTAAAATATATCCTGAAATAACTACACAAAAAACCCAGTTAATTGAAAAAGAACGAAATGAAAATGAACAAAAAATGCAAGAAATATATAATTATCAACCAAAACAAAATTATCGAAATCATAATTTAAATCATGCAAAAATTTCAGATATAATGCCCTCCTATAAACATTCTAGGAATTCATCCAAAAATGTTGAAATTGTTAAATCAAACTTAATTGCAGAAATATCAACATCATCATTATTCAAGAAAAATAATGATCAACAAAACTTACCTACAAATTATGTCACTACACCACAATCTCATATATCAAGATCAGATGTACAAATTGTAACTTTAGATCATGTTCAAAGTGTTATACAAAATACAAGCAATCCCCAATATCAAATAATTTATGCAACAACCGAAAAACCAATTCGGCAAGAAGATGATGATCATGCTTTATTAAATAATAAATTATCATCAGTTTATTCAGCGAAAATGGCAGGTTTTCAATCTTCATTCGAATTACCGATAACAACATTAAATAAAATTTATAGAAAGAAATTCAAACGGAAAAAGCACAATGAAAATAACAGTACAATAGAATCGAATGAACAGAATGATATGACTTTGTCGGAAAGTCAATATTATAAATTTCCAGACAGGCATTTTGAAACTGATCTTTATAATAAAAGACTATTACGAAATAATGAATCTCAGAGTAATGTTAAACTCCCATTAAAGACCATAGAGGTGAAGCAAAAATTTTCTAAAGTTCAAATTGATCCTAACATGAATTGGATTGTTTTTGGACCAAAGTAAGTGGCCATTTTACAATTATTATGTAACTCTGTAAAACTGTTATACTTACTCGACTTTCATAATTATAAAAATTTTTGCAATTTTTTTGCAAGCATTCGTTTTGCTAAATCTCAAATATAAAAATATTTTAATCTTAGTTCTGAGACCAACTCATTTAATATTAAATCTATTGTGTAAACATTATTTTACTGTTCAATACTTCTTTAAAATTTATTATTTTTTTTTAAATTCTTATAAGAAATTATTAAAGTTTTTTAATTTCTAAATTTCAGAAAAAATACAAGGGAATCAAAATCAAATAACAAAAAAATTTCATCAACTTACATTGAAAATTTTTCACCATATCGGAATAATATTTCACCTCGAGCTGAAAAATTAATATCTAAGCTTAGAAATTCTACAGAAACAGTTCTTGGAACCAAGGTTTTAGTAGATTTGTAAAAACTAATTTTTCTTTTTAATCTTTCCAACTCTCTAAGAATAACTTAAATTTTGCCTTTTTCCTTTTATATGTAAATTTCATCTAATTTAAATAATAAATTTGTCAAAGAGAGTTAAAAATATTACTGAAAATTTTTATATCATTAATAAATTTATTTTTTTTATCATTTGATTAATTTTGGCAATTAAAGAATGGATGAAGCGACAAGAAAGGCGACAAATAATTACAAAGTGTCATGTACGAAGTCATTGTATTTATTAAAAAGAAATGGCTGAAAGAATTTAATTAATTGCCCCAATTTTTCCTCCGAATTTTTTAAATTTTCTTCCAGCTATAAGATTTTATAAAGGAATAGAAATTAAAAAAATAGAATTTCATTTGATTTTGTTGTTAACGAAGGAATTCAATTTAAATAAAAGGTAATATGAGCAATGTTCGCTAACTAAACAATTTGGCATAACTATCGAAGTCAAATCCTTATGGTTTCTTATGACCACCATTTTCATGTTTATTACGTATTTAATTTTATTACTAAAATATTATAATATTTTTTTAATTATTATTTAGTTTATTGAATTAAAGTTTTTAGTTTTTATTAACTAAAGTTCTAATTTAGATTTTATATTTTTTGTTTACTTATTCACTTCACAACTTATTCTATTTTTTTTGTTTTAATGCCACAGCCACTAAGTTCGGACTCATAATGAACAAAAAATAATGGGAACATTATTATTTTAATTGAAGTTAACAGTAAAATTCTTAAATTGACGGCGAATCGAGTCCTTAGTGTTAACGCTTTTTAGAATTTAAAGTACTTATGTATGTTGTATAGTCACTACATTTTTTTTTTTTTTTCCTTTGTTCACTCCTAGAAGGAGCATAGGGCTAGTGCATGATCTCTCATGCAATAGTTTCATAGCGTCATAGAGTTTAACTAGGTAGGTGACTAGCCTGCCGTAGTTTTATTTATATAAATTATTTGAGGTTATTGATATTTACTGTTTATTTTTCTTAGTTTTTTTGTTTTTTAATATCGAATATTACGAATATTTGAAAATTACTTGTATAATACTTATTAGTATTGTGTATTAAGTTATAATAATATTGAATATAATTTTTATATTGACCTGACCGGGGTTTGAACCCGAGACCCTTCGGTTAAAGGACCGGTGCCATAACCACTGCACCAATGGTCAGATATAGTCACTACATACCTATCCATATTTATAATTGCACGAATGGAAATTTCTTGACGGTATATAGATAAGTGCCATTTCTAAATTAAAATTTTTTGAGTCTTCAAGCACTGAATTAAAAGTTATGACATATTTTACTACTGTGTTATTACTTCGTTGTTTAAGGCGAGGATTTCTTTCGTCATAATAAGGATCCACTTTAAGCGCATATCATATAGCTACAAGTGTTATACTCATATAATATCAAAAGAAATAAGGTTTCGTATAAACAAGTAAAATTTATTATACAACATTTTCTTTCTTTTTTACCTAGCAGTTCAAGTTAAAAATTTTAGAACGATGAAAGAAACAACAAGAAAAAAAATGACTTTTCATCAATTTTGTACAGTTCTAAAGTGACAAATTTTTTTTTCAAAAAAACAATGTTAGAAAAGAAACAAAATAATTATTGTCATTTGTACTTAAAAAAAAACATAGGTAAAGTTTAAATAGACTCATAATACAGATAAATCGATATATTATGCAATATGGCTAGAAGAAATTAATCAGGCGCCGGCGTACTAATGACCTTAAACGTACACGTACGTAGGCTTCATATTTTTATGAAGCTTGTGTGCATGGGATCTGATATTTTGTATTAAAAATTGAAATATGTTGTTAAACATTTT